TTCCAAAATATTGAGAAACTTGATTTATATGGGGATTTTGAGACTATAATAATGATAAATTTGCAAATATTTTACTGTTTTAGAGCAGTTATTTCAATTGAACTCGAGAGATGGCGCTACAAGAGTTTCAGATTGTCAAGAAGTGCCAATAAATGGAATTCTATTTTAGTCTGTTCAAGATTGTCATCAAAGTGACTGTTTTTAAATAGAATTCTATTTATAGTAAAGGAAAAAAGTAATTGATTTTTTTTTTTCAAAATAGAATAAAAATCGATAAAAACAAAACTATTGATTTCAAACAGCTTCTCTGCGATTTGAATCATGAAAAATAGAATTCTATTTTGATGACCATTGGATATCGATTGAAATTCTATTTATTAGGAATGGAAAAAAATTACATTGATCTTTTTTTTTTTTAATTAATTTCAAAATCGACACAATATCAATAAATATTAATTGATTTTTAATTATCAAAATTGAGAAATTTGAAACATGATTAATAGAATTCTAGTTTAGTAACTGTTTAAAATTTGTCACTAGTGCTTACCTACTTTTTTCGAAAAATTTGATATTTTTTCAATTTTTTCAAATTTTTTTAAATTTCCTCACTTTTTTCAAAAAATTTTGATATTTTCTTGATTTTGTCAAAAAATCTAGAATTTTTTCGTTTTTCCAATTTTCTCAATTTTCAATTTTCTTTTTAATTTTCTTTTTTTTCACTTTCACTCACAAAAATAAAAAAATTGAAAATTGAGAAAATTGGAAAAACGAAAAAAGTGACACAAAAAATTAAGAAAATTGGAAAAAAAATGAAAATTGAGATAATTGGAAAAACGAAAAAAGTGAAAAAAAAAATAAAAAAAAATAAAAAAATTAAAAAAATTGGAAAAACGGAAAAAGTGAAACAAAAAAAAAATTAAAAAAAAAATAGAAAATTAAGAAAATTGAAAAAAAAAAAATGAAAATTGAGATATGTAATTGGAAAAACGAAAAAGGTATAAAAAAAAATTAAAAAAATTGAAAATTGAGAAAATTGGAAAAACGTAAAAAGTGAAAAAAAATTAAAATAAAATTGAGAAAATTGAAAAAAAAAATGAAAATTGAGATAATTGGAAAAACGAAAAAAGTGGAGAAAAAAAAATATTAAAAAAAATTGAAAATTGAAAAAACTTGAATTTTTCAAATGTATTTTTCGATTATTATCAAATTTTCTTGAATTTTTTAAAGTTTTTTTTTTTGAATTTTACATTTTTTTTTCAAATCGCCATAATTTCCAGTTCAAGTTTTTTTGAATTATTCAATTTTTTTGAATTTTTCAAATATGTTTTTTGATGTTTTTAAAGTATTAAATTTTTTGAAATTTGTTTTTTTTTTAAGTTTTTTGAACATTTTCAATTTTCTGAATTTCTCAAATGTGTTTCGATTCTTTCGAAATTTTGAATTTTTAGAACTTGTTTATTTTTCAAAATTTTGATTTTTTTGAATTTTACATTTTTTCCTCAAATACATGTAAGGCTTTTTTCAATTTTTCAATTTTTTTGAATTTTTCAAATCTATTTACAAAATTCACAAAATTGAAAAAAATTAAGTCACAAAATATTCAAAAAAATTTTTAAAAAAATTCAAGACATTCATAAAATTCACAAAACTTCACAAATTAAAAAAAAAAACAAAATTTTCTAAAGTGGAAAAAATTTACAAAACTCACAAAATTGATAAATTTACAAAGGTGTGTAAAGAATCTTTAAGTTTGGTTGAGGTCGGGGGGGAAATATTGATTTTTTAATGGTTGATAACTCTCTTCACAAAGGTGTGTAAAATTTAAAAATTAGTGTGCAAAATTTAATAATAAGTGTGCAAAATTGTGCAAATTAGGAGAATCTAACAGTGAAAGAATTTTTAAGTTTGGTTGAGGTCGGGGGAACCGTTTAATTTGCCCCCCATTTAAAAATCGGTTGTAGTCTCTCGGCGGAGGGTGTGTAAAATTTAGTTTGGGTTGTGCAAAATTATGACATAGTTTGTTTTAAGATTGGAGCCACACAAGGGGCAAACTTGACTGACCCAAAAAAAAATACATAAAGAAAACTTAAAAGACTGGAAAAATTAGACCAAAAGAATTAAAAAAAATATGATTAAATACATAGTTTAAAAAAATTAAAAAATACATTGCAATTTGAAAAAAAAAAAGATAACAAAGGTAACTAGATAAAAAATTACAATAAGAAATTTTTGTTTGATTTATTATTAAGATTTAGGAGTGTCAATTTTGTCAATTGCTTCCTTTTAAGATTAATAAATTTAAATTATCTTCATTTGATATGGTTTTGTAACTTATCCATTCTTCTGCCTGATGATTTTGGACTGAACTGAAACAAAATACCTACTTGAATTATTTTCAAATTATTTACAAAATTCAATAAAAGACTTACTATCTTTGATGGCATTTATTTTATTGTGACATCATTTATGATTTTTCAATATTTGAATCATTTCAGTTCTACCATTGGTTCTACTCAATAATCTGGCGCAATCATGGGCATTTTGTTGCCATTTATTTTTAATGTTTAAAAGGGCGCCATGTTGTAGAAATATTAAAACAACTTCTGGTTTATTGCTTGATGTAGCCCAGTGCAAGGGTGTATCTCCATTGTTGTCTTGAGCGTTTATATTAGCGTCATTTTTCAGCAATGAATTTACTATTTCACTGTGACCATTTTTAGATGCACAATGAAGAGCTGTTCTGCCATGATTATCTTTTCTTTCCATTTCTGCACCAAATTTTAAAAGAATTTCTATCAAATGGGCATCATTATGGTATAAACTTGCGTAATGAAGTGGAGTGTATTGATAATAATTGTTAGTGGCATTTACATTAAATCCGTTTTGAAGCAATAGATGAACAATTGTACTGTCACCTTTTTCAGCTGCATAATGAAGAGCTGTTGAGCCCCAATTATTTTTTACGTCTTTTTTCGCTTCGTGAATTAAAAGCGATTGAACAATTTCTGTTTTTCCATCTAGAACTGCCAAATGCAATTGAGTATCGCCTCTATTATCTACAGCATCCAATTCTTCCACACCAAGTGATTGTAATAAATTCTTTAAATTTGCTTCCTTAGTTGTTACCTCATCTTGTGATGAGGTTTTTTTAGTTGATTCTTCTTTCTTTAAATTATTATTCGTACCTTCATCCAAGGCTCTTGCTGAAGTTGATTCAATGTTTATTAAAGTATTTTCAACCTCACAAGTGGCTTGATTATTTGTCGATAATATTTCACTTTTTTTCCACAATTCATTCAATTTCAATGGAAAAATATTTGTTGTTTGATTGTCCATCATAATTTCTTCCAGATGTTTTGAATTTTTCACAATAAAAATAATTTTTTTGCCATTTAACTTGATAGCGTTTATCCAAGATTTCAATAAATGCAATAATTGTTTACTTAATTGTTCTTGATTGTCCCAAATGCAAACCAATAAATTAGGGAAATGTTTCACAAAATCTCCATTTTGTTTTGTGGTCAATGTAATAAAACTATTGAAATCAATGAAAAAAATTTCGTTTAAATTTTCTTTGAAAATTGCATCTTTTTTAAAGTTTATCAAAACTTGAGCTAACAAAACTCTAGTTACATCGAGATCTGCACTTTCTAGACATAATATGGAATCGTCATTTTCTAGTAGAAATCCTTTAGTCACTTTTTTTATGATGAAATCCGTCTTTTCCAAATTGTAAAGAAAACTTTGGGAATTTTCTCTCATAATTCGAACACAATCATCAACCATTTTAAATATTCACTTTTTACCTTGAAATTAGAAAAAATTAATTAAGACAACTTTGAACACTTTACTTCTTATAAATTGAAGATAAATATACAGCACGTGTTTTCTCGGAAAGATTGAACGTTGAATGAAAAATAAACAAAAACCGGTTGACAATGACAGTGATAATTGACAGTGGCGGCTGGCGGCTATACCATCTGTCAATCAAAATGATTTTCTTCAAAATAGAATTCTATTTATAGAAATTGGAATCATTCAAAAGTATCGATACTATGGGCACTTTCCAAATTCACCGATAAATTTGTTGATAATTGGTGTACTTTTACTTTAATTATGTGAAGAAAAACAATAAAACAATTTTTGTGTAAAAGTTGCAGACTCATGGGCAAGTTTTTAAATTCATCAATTCCTTCAGCGCATTTTTTCTGATGGGCAACCTATCCTTGTTTTGCTGCTGTCAAATGACAAGGACAGCAATACATCGATGAAAATGCGCATGTGACATTGATGATTTTAAAACCTTGCCCCATTATTAACCTCACTTATAATACATTTACAAAGTGTCACTTGACAGAATCCATCTAAGCGTTTTCTTTTGGACAACATAAAGTGATCTATTCTATATTCAACAAAATTGACCAGTTAAATAAACCGGTAGCTGTCAAAAAATTTCGATAAAAATTAAAAGTGTAGTACAAAATCTGGTTACAAGATTTTTGTGATGCATTTTGGATAAGGCTACCATATTATTCTGATAAAAAAACGGAACATTTTTATGAAGCAAATGTTTCATGTATTTATAGAAAAAATAGCGCCGTAGGCAATTTTTTTTTTCGGAACCACACCTGTAGGACCGAGCGTAGGACGAATCCACGAAATACATACTACTACAGGACAGTCTATCCTCATAAGGCGTGTGTACATCGTACAACAAATCCGAAACCCCCCTCCCCCACTAAATCACCATTTATGACGTAGATAGCATGTCGTTTCTCGCCTTGACGTAGGCTGTTTGTACCACAGGTTATGATTTCATCTTTCTATTTGCCTATTATGCTTGATCAAAATAAAATAACATTTTTCATCATAAATTTAAATTCTAAATTACGACTGCTGGCGCAAACAGCTGACGTCGCTGACGATTTGGTTGATGACATCGGCAATGGTGATACACCAATATGGTGAGGATTACCAAAAACGAGGCCGATCAGCTATTCTTAGTGGTGTGTGCCAAACTCGCCAAATTCTAAACTGTCAAATGTCAAATGCTGACGAATAACCACCACAGTGGCAACATGTGTGTATGGCCGACCAAATGTTAATTTTTCAATATTCGCCTTACTCAATCGTTTGGTGGTCTTTTTTAATATTTGGTGGTAATTACTTAGGCAGTAATTAACAATTAAAAATTTCATATGACGTTGGCCGACATAACCTGATTCTAATTTATTTTTTGGCCGCGATCGAGGCGGCTCAATGAAAAACAGATAATATATGCGCATGCGCGACGAATAATTAGAATATATCAGAAAACAATCTTAATTGATTAATTACTCCGGTATTATTGACTAACAAACGTTAAATTCGGTAAATTCGTGACCACCAAACGATTTCCGTTCGATTTGACTATAAATGGGCCAAAAAATAAATTAGAATCAGGTTATGTCGGCCAACGTTATATGAAATTTTGAATTGTTAATTACTGCCTAAGTAATTACCACCAAATACTAAAAGTGGGATACCAAAGACCACCAAACGATTGAGTAAGGCGAATATTGAAAAATTAACATTTGGTCGGCCAAATACATGTTGCCACGATTATCATACGAGAGAAAAAATAAAAACCGGTTGACAGTCCCAGCGATAATTGACAGTGACGACTATTACATCTGTCATGTGTCACATGGTACGGCGGCGTTCCGTATCTTTATAGCGTTTTCTATTAGTAAAATTCGTGCTGCCCGAGTTCTACACTCAACACTGAATCAGTTCACGTTTAGTGCAATCCGAAAAGAACATGAATTTGGCAGGTTTTGTTATTTTTTTTAAATTTATTATTTAGGGATTTATTTTTGAAAAAAAAATCAATTTTCAAAAAAAAAAAATGTGGGTTTTTGAAAAAATTCATTGAAAAAATTCAACTGTCAAAAAAATTTAATTATCGAAAATTTCCAAAAAAAACATAATTATAGTTAAAAAAAAGTCAATTGTCATTAAATAAATTTTCAAAAATTTCAATTTTCAAAAATATTCAATTTTTGAAAATTTCAGTCTTCAAAAAAATTTAATTGTTAATTGTTAATTACCTTTCGTTAATTGTCAAAAAAATTCAATTATCGAAAATTTCGATTCTCAAAAAAATTCAATTGTTAAAAAATTCGATTGTCAAAAAATTTAATTGTCAGAAAATATTTAATTATCAAAAAATTTTTAATTGTTAAAAATTCATTCTCGAAAAAACTCGATTAAATTTGAATTTCTTCCCAATCCAAAATTACAATCCGATTTTTTCAAAATTTCAAACCGATTCCTCAAGAAAAAAAAGTTTTTTTTTTCTTGTAATTTCAATCTGTTCAGGATCCAAAATTTCAATCCGATTTTTTCAAAATTTAATTCGATATCTCGAAAAAAAAAATTTTTTCTTGAAATTTCAATCTCTTCAAAATCCAAAATTTCAATCCGATTTTTTCAAAATTTCAATCCAATTTCTCGGAGAAATTTTTTTTTCTCGAAATTTTAATCTTTTCTCAATCCAAATTTCAATCCGATTTTTTTTAAATTTCGATCCGATTTTTTTTTTTTTTTTTAAATTTCAATCTATTCTTAATCCAAAATTTCAATCCGATTTTTTCAAAATTTAATTCGATTTCTCGAAAAAAAAATTTTTTCTTGAAATTTCAATCTCTTCAAAATCCAAAATTTCAATCCGATTTTTTCAAAATTTAATTCGATACTCGAAAAAAAAAATTTTTTCTTGAAATTTCAATCTCTTCAAAATCCAAAATTTCAATCCGATTTTTTCAAAATTTCAATCCAATTTCTCGGAGAAATTTTTTTTTCTCGAAATTTAAAATTTCAATCCGATTTTTTTTAAATTTCGATCCGATTTTTTTTTTTTTTTTTTAAATTTCAATCTATTCTTAATCCAAAATTTCAATCCGATTTTTTCAAAATTTAATTCGATTTCTCAAAAAAAAAATTTTTTCTTGAAATTTCAATCTCTTCAAAATCCAAAATTTTAATCCGATTTTTTCAAAATTTAATTCGATATCTCGAAAAAAAAAAATTTTTCTTGAAATTTCAATCTCTTCAAAATCCAAAATTTCAATCCGATTTTTTCAAAATTTCAATCCAATTTCTCGGAGAAATTTTTTTTTCTCGAAATTTTAATCTTTTCTCAATCCAAATTTCAATCCAATTTTTTTTAAATTTCGATCCGATTTTTTTTTTTTTTTTTTAAATTTCAATCTATTCTTAATCCAAAATTTCAATCCGATTTTTTCAAAATTTAATTCGATTTCTCGAAAAAAAAAATTTTTCTTGAAATTTCAATCTCTTCAAAATCCAAAATTTCAATCCGATTTTTTCAAAATTTAATTCGATATCTCGAAAAAAAAAAATTTTTCTTGAAATTTCAATCTCTTCAAAATCCAAAATTTCAATCCGATTTTTTCAAAATTTCAATCCAATTTCTCGGAGAAATTTTTTTTTCTCGAAATTTTAATCTTTTCTCAATCCAAATTTCAATCCAATTTTTTTTAAATTTCGATCCGATTTTTTTTTTTTTTTTTTTAAATTTCAATCTATTCTTAATCCAAAATTTCAATCCGATTTTTTCAAAATTTAATTCGATATCTCGAAAAAAAAAATTTTTTCTTGAAATTTCAATCTCTTCAAAATCCAAAATTTCAATCCGATTTTTTCAAAATTTCAATCCAATTTCTCGGAGAAATTTTTTTTTCTCGAAATTTTAATCTTTTCTCAATCCAAATTTCAATCCGATTTTTTTTAAATTTCGATCCGATTTTTTTTTTTTTTTTTTAAATTTCAATCTATTCTTAATCCAAAATTTCAATCCGATTTTTTCAAAATTTAATTCGATTTCTCGAAAAAAAAATTTTTTCTTGAAATTTCAATCTCTTCAAAATCCAAAATTTCAATCCGATTTTTTCAAAATTTAATTCGATTTCTCGAAAAAAAAAATTTTTTCTTGAAATTTCAATCTCTTCAAAATCCAAAATTTCAATCCGATTTTTTCAAAATTTCAATCCAATTTCTCGGAGAAATTTTTTTTTCTCGAAATTTTAATCTTTTCTCAATCCAAATTTCAATCCGATTTTTTTTAAATTTCGATCCGATTTTTTTTTTTTTTTTTAAATTTCAATCTATTCTTAATCCAAAATTTCAATCCGATTTTTTCAAAATTTAATTCGATTTCTCGAAAAAAAAATTTTTTCTTGAAATTTCAATCTCTTCAAAATCCAAAATTTCAATCCGATTTTTTCAAAATTTAATTCAATATCTCGAAAAAAAAAATTTTTTCTTGAAATTTCAATCTCTTCAAAATCCAAAATTTCAATCCGATTTTTTCAAAATTTCAATCCAATTTCTCGGAGAAATTTTTTTTTCTCGAAATTTTAATCTTTTCTCAATCCAAATTTCAATCCGATTTTTTTTAAATTTCGATCCGATTTTTTTTTTTTAAATTTCAATCTATTCTTAATCCAAAATTTCAATCCGATTTTTTCAAAATTTAATTCGATTTCTCGAAAAAAAAATTTTTTCTTGAAATTTCAATCTCTTCAAAATCCAAAATTTCAATCCGATTTTTTCAAAATTTAATTCGATATCTCGAAAAAAAAAATTTTTTCTTGAAATTTCAATCTATTCTTAATCCAAAATTTCAATCCGATTTTTTCAAAATTTCAATCCAATTTCTCGGAGAAATTTTTTTTTCTCGAAATTTTAATCTTTTCTCA